AGTATTACCGAAATTTCAAATAACATATATTCATCAATCACTTTAACTTCAAGAAGTATAGAGGACATAATAATTACTATTCCTCCAATGGAAATTCCACTAGTCAGGGGAAATAATTACTTTCGGCCACGAAACTCATTAACTTTCCATAGCTTTATTCGATACACGCTTCTGTCTTAAAGCGCGCAATCATTCCTACATTTTTCCTTAATTATCTCCTCTTTCAACGTTTATACACCTAGTATCTGTAATGCATGACTCTTTATCAACTCTTATGTTTTATTTTTCTTTGAGATCATTCTTTAGTCAATCGATTTTTTTCCATGAATAATTGAATGGATATTAGCCTCACATTTTTAATAACTGTGTTTATTCTACTTTATGTACAATACATATAAATGAATGTCTGTGTGTGTGTTCTTTATAGACTCCTAAACCAACAGACCGAAAGTTATGAAACTTGGCATACAGATAGTTCAAAGCACGAGAAAGGTCACTATCGAAATTAGAACATTCTACGACTTATCGTTTTAGCAGGATGAGCGATAAACTAAATGGAATTTTCAGATTCGTTTCGCGTTAGCCATTGTTTTAAATTTAACGAATCAATTTTTCACATACTTTAAAGATACATTAGTGATAATTGCATAAAGATACATTAGTGATAAATATTTGACCAAAAATTAGTTTATTGAACGTATTTAATTATTTAATTATTTTATATTCGCTATGTCAGATATATTCAATGAACATTACGCTGTAGTACGCGTGGTCTACGTCACCAAATTTATACTTTGTCTCATAAAAAGCGCTTTTATTTTATTTATATTAATTCTATTAAACGTGTCTCGAACTAATTACTTGCTTAAAACCAACGGCAATGGAATAAAAAAAATATTTATGTACTCAAAAACAAATATTAATGAAAAAGTGGTACTAATTTGTGTACGAGGAACAAAAAATCGGCTCTAATGAGGCTTAATTAAGCTAATTATGCTTATTTAAATAAAGTAATATATGCATATTGAAATAAAAGAAATAAGCTATGAGCTAGGAAGCAAAAGAAATGGAGTAAAGATTTTTATTTGTCTAGAAGAACCATAAGGAATTATCATACTATCATTGACGACAATGATGCTTAATTAGCATTTGTAATATGTTAATTGATATTAAAAAACCTATGTACGTTATGTACTTATTCATTATGGGGAACCGTGAAACATCACGATATTATTTCTGACACTAATGCTTAATTAATATTAATAATATGAAGTAATTGAAATAAAATAAATCAAGATATATGCAAAAAAGTGAAGTCAAGTAAAAAAGGTTAATAGGAAATTCGTTTATGAAAACCGTAGAAAGTTGCCATTTACAGATGACGCTTACTTATTGTGCACTACTAACAGTAATATGTTCTACTGGTATTATAGCAATCTGTACAGTTTTCATAAAAATTCTACAGCTGGGGTTTTCCGTAATTTCAGAATTTTTTTTTAATGGTAATGATAGTGTATTAAAATTTTAATGGATAAGCATATAAAGAACTTTGTTTCCCTATTATTTATAAAAATTTTAACAGTAAATTAAAGGTCAGATAGAGAAACGCCCAAGCTCCACAAACCTTATCAAGTTCTAATAAGAATTCTGTTTTCTTTTAAATGTCGGCTTTAGTTGGTTGTCACAGACAAATATATTTTTCACAAAACTTAGATGTTGAAGGGTTATGTAATAAGTATCAACTATGTTAATATAGGTATAAAATATTATGCTAAATATATGCTAAATATTATGCTTATTATAAAAAATTTTTAAAGGAACAAAATGAGTTTAAGATGAAAGAAAAAAAACAGAAAACAAACGTACCGATATGGAGTAAAATAAAAATTCCTTAATTAGTAAAATACCTTAAATAAAAATGCCTTATTATAATTGATTTTATCAGAATTTTTTCTCCGAGTATAGACTAAAGAAACATTTAAAAGTATTTTATTTAATTTTATATCTGAAACTCAGAACAAAAATTTGCAATTATGCATATTTTGTTAGCTAGGAATTTTGATTTCAGATAGTTAGAATTTCTGAATTTACGTTATAAAATTCATAATTTTGGAGCAATCGATCAGTTATGATTAACTGTTATTAATCTACAGAAATAAATAAAAAACAGAATAAAATATCAATTAATTTTCGTCTTTTAGCTATCATTAACCATAGATATTCCATGCATGCTAACATTATCCCAGACACAAAGTTAAAGCTAAGAAAGAAATATAATCTTTTTTTTTCTATTTGGAAACATTATGTTATTGAGAACGAAGAAAATTTGCTGACATGGCAGAAAAAGCTTTTCGCCTGACTCAGTTCATTGAATATATGTGCTGACGTTTAAGGAAAAAATTGTGAATACTGACTGATATAAATTATAGTATATTTGCTAAAATAGTGTCTCATGAAAAGAACAATGAAATTTTCTAGATTTAAATGCATAGACGTCATTATTTGCTTAGAAAAAGGCTTTAGATAGAAAACTTATGCAGGTACAGTCAAATAAATACAATATTATTCTTAGCATTAAACGTGTACTGTAATATATATATATATATATATATATATATATATATATATANTGAGATTCACCTATATATATATATATATATATATTTAAATGTAAGTAATTTAAAATAATTTGAATTTATTTTGTATCTAAAGATTGAAACACTTTTATTTAAACAATGATGAAAATTTTACACATTTAATAAGCATCATTTAATAAACACTTTTATTAAATGATGAAAACTCTTTCGGATTCGTAAAATTTGTTTTTTTCATAGCTGATGAAATTTAATCAAATTTCTAGTACTTCTCTTACGTGTTCAATTTAAAATTTAATAAGCATGTATTTAGTTTATCAAATTTAATCGAATTGTGTTTTGTTATAAAATGCGTTTTTTTTTTGTTGTTGCTCCGAATGTTCCAATCACACGAATATTTTAATCAATCGTGTTTGATTCTAGTTTTATATAAAAACGTTTTAAATATGCTACAAATGATTGATGTCACACCAATGTACTAATAAAGTTAATCTTGAAACCTATTGTATAGAAAACCAACACATCTGACACTAAAAAAGAAGAAGCAATTGTTACAGATCCAAAATCAAACGAATTCGAAAAAGGCTGGAATAAACACGCTTTTGGGATCTTGAATGTGCATAGTGCGTGTATTGTAGTCCGTTCTAGTACTCCAGGGAGCGCAGGACCACCTACTAAGATTTAATGGTGCACTAAGCGAAAAAGGTCAATAATCGACGGTCTCACAGTAGCATTACGAGATTTGGAAATGGACAAAATGAACTAGCGTGACCGTTTCATAAAATGAGCTCAGAGCTTTTTAGGTTCTTGCTTTTTGTCAAACGGCATATTTTAATCTTTGTTCTTTTTGGCGTATTTAGTACTCGGTTTATTGATTTTGTATCGGAGGAAAAGTATTATATAAATATTATTTAAAGAATTATTATTGTATCAAGGTTTTTTTATTATTATTTTTGTTGTTGTTGTTGTTGTTGTTAGAATTACCTTAATTTTCATTCGAATGAGTATTTAGAAATGAATAGTACACCACGGCAATTATTTAAAAAGTTTATAAGTTTTTAACCATTGATTCAACTGAAGTTATTTTCTAATGCAGGTAACTTTTATTCATTTTTATACCTACGTGTTCAACATAATATCATATCTAGAGCATACTTTTAAAATTGAAAGCATTCTTTTGAAAAAATTTCTCCTATTATCGTCGTTTATAAAATATCTCAAATTTTCAAACTTCTATAATTTAATTTTTATATTTTTTATGTAAATTAAAATGTTATACATAGTTACTGATGTATATTAAATAAAGTTATATCCATACTTAAACTTGTTTTAAACATGCTCCGCTATTAGCATATAAAATATTCTAAATTGAAAACTACGCAGTTTTTAGCGCTCATTTATTTTTCAAAAATTTATAAATTCATACCAAAATATATTTTCATTTTCGAAATATGATTTATTCAAATGCATGATAATTTTTCTATGTATTCACGTTACATGTTTCTAAAATTTGTACTAGATATTATCACAATAAACAAATAGATCGTGTTACCTGCTGGGAAAATGCAGTATTTTTAATCAGAAATGTTCTCTTAAACTGTTAATTTTTATAATATTTAAGACTTTCTATATATTCTTAAAATTTTACAGCTATCTTTAACAGTTTAATGAATTCCAACATTGGAATTTATTCAAATGCATGATAATTTTTCTTTGTATTCACTTTACATGTTTCTAAAATTTGTACTAGAATATTATCACAATAAACAAATAGATCGTGTTACCTGCTGGGAAAATGCAGTATTTTTAATCAGAAATGTTTTCTTAAACTGTTAATTTTTATAATATTTAAGACTTTCTATAGATTCTTAAATTTTTGAAGTTATCTTTGACAGTTTAATGAATTCCAACATTTTACATTTAAAAAAAACCATATTAACTGAGAAAATTTCCTTTATAGTTTCGGCATTTCTCAAATTTATTACTTTAAAAAGCGAAACGAAGTACCACAAAATTTGTTTTCTTCTTGTATTTTTTCTTTAATTTCTTATTTTCGAGCTAATTATTTTCTTACTATAAAATTATGTACATATGTTTATGTAACACAAGCCTCACATACGTTCGTTAGGCGCTAAGAATTTTACATTCCAATTTCTCAGAATCATTTTGCTTGAATATTTTTAAACCCGCTTAATAAACTCGAGATTAGATCATGCACTATTTTTTTGAAAACCACTCCCCTAATGCAACATTTTCAAAAGACTATTTTGCTCAGCCATTTGTAATTACTTTTAGTATTAAACTTTTATCTGACTTTTTAGTTTAAAAAATACAAAACTATACATGTCAATACAAAATCAATCACATAAAATGTGATTACCTAATGTTCCTCTTTTTTTCTTTCAGGAAGTTGCTGAAAGGGACATTAATCAAATGAAGGTCCATCTATCACATCACTGGATGGAATGAATTCATCAATTTCGTCACAATATACAAACTACTTAGTGTTCTAATTTTTTTAAGTTCCCCACATTTGATGAAGAATGATTGTTTTGTCAATTTCTCTACCTTTCAGAAACTTTCTTACTTTATTTTAAATAATGAGTTAAACGTGGCACATTTGTATGAAAAACCATGGCCTCAAGAGTTTTTTTACTAATCCTGGTCTCTATATCCAAAAACTTCCCTCAAAATCTTAAATAAGACCATTTTAGAATGTTATATTTCAATTAAGTATTAACGAAAACCATTTTATCATATTAAACAAATCTTCAAAGCAATATATATTTGTGCACTTTCTCTAAATATTTTATTATGGGTGGTAATTCATATTTCGACACGGATGCAGAGCTACAAGAAATTCCATCTCTCGCTGAATTTGAAGATATATCGAGTTTAGATCCAAACAAAAATGTGAGCATTCTATGCAATAGCACACTTGCAAATAATACCTTTGACTGCACAAATATTACAGACTCACTTGATTACGGTAGACATGATTACAGTGATGCTTTTGCAATGGAACACATGTTGAGCATCGTAGTGCCCATTCTCTTTGGAGTTATAGTTGTAGTCGGCTTGTTTGGAAATGCTTTAGTAGTCATTGTAGTTACATGCAATCCTCAAATGCGGTCCACAACTAATTTATTAATTATTAATTTAGCAATGGCTGATTTACTTTTCATTGTATTTTGTGTACCGTTTACAGCATGGGATTATGCTTTACCATACTGGCCATTTGGAGATGCTTGGTGCAGAGTAGTGCAATATTTAGTGATTGTTTGTGCTTATGCAAGCATATATACTTTAGTTTTGATGTCTCTCGATCGATTCCTTGCTGTTGTCCATCCAGTTACATCCATGTCCATTAGAACAGAAAAGAATGCATACATTGCCATAGGATTTATGTGGTTAGTTATTTTCGTCTGTTGCATGCCAGCTTTACAAAGCCATGGTGAGTTTTACTATTATTTCGCTTATAAAAAGTATTCTGTCTGTGTGTTCTTGGCGACAGAGGGATACAATTATGCAGCATTCCAAATATGCTTCTTTCTTTCTTCTTACATAATTCCACTGGGCTTGATTTTCTGCCTGTATATGCTCATGTTAAAAAGGCTTTGGTTCGGAGTTACCCCTGGTGGTCGCATGAGTGCCGAGAGTGTGAAATCTAAGAAAAGAGTCACCAGAATGGTGGTAGTCGTAGTGGTAATCTTCGCCTGCTGTTGGTGCCCTATACAAGTAGTCCTTGTACTTAAAAGTGTAAGTGCATATGAGCTCAACCCAGTGAATATCGTACTTCAAATTGCGGCGCATATTTTAGCATACATGAATTCTTGTGTGAATCCCATTCTTTATGCTTTTCTGTCTGATAACTTTCGAAAAGCGTTTAGAAAAGTCATCTATTGCAATCCACGATATAACCATCCAAGTCACACACGTTTTGATAGAGCCCAAGATACCGGAACATGCACAACTAAAACAACTAAATCAAATGATATAATGTGAAAAGAAAAGAATCACTTTTGAGCCACTCCGATCTTTTAAGTACAAGGTTTTTAACTTCTGACAAGTGTTTTAAAATCATTATAAAAATGATCCAGAAAGAACTAATTTATATATTTTCAGATTTTGTGCACCTTGTTAGATGTGATCGTTTCTTACTACATATCATTGCTCCAAATGAAAAGACACACAACTGAAGAACTTAAATATCATTTGCATAGAATGACTTTTTATGACTTGGGCACAATGTCTGGAGTTTCTCTCTAATTGAAATCCAGTGTTTAAAGCTCATCAGAAAAGGATAATTTATATTTTACAACATGAAGGCATATAAATAATTTGCCACAAGAATAAAAAAGTATACAAATAATATGTGATATTAACGTGTATTTTAACCATGAATTTACATATATATATATATAAATATTTATGTGTTTGAGTTTTGTTGTATGAGGCACAAATGAGGACAAGATTTTCTGAACTTTCTTACAAATTGGATACATCGTGAATGTTGTAAAAATATCTTAGTGTTCAATGTGTAGTTCTAGACATAAATATGACACGTGATCTAATTAGATATCTATTAAACGCTGTGTATTTACTTCTTATAAATTTATGTATGTCTCCAATTTTTTTTTCTTCATAAATTAAACCCTCTCATGCATATGGGTCGCATATGAAGACAATTATATTTTTGCTTCATATTGCTATTCAGATTGTGTTGTACTTACATGTATTCATTAGGAGACTCCAAACAGTTCTTGAACACTCCACATCAGAAGGCAGGCCGTACAAGGGAGTTAAAAGAGTTTGGAAGTCAATGAAGGACTTTTGGAACCCTTTTGACTCTTTGGAAGTTAATTGAGGATTCCAGAAATGTTGAAAATTTTATAATTTATTAATTAATTTTGATGGATATATTACAATACTGGAAGGGTTGGTATCATTTTATGTCTTCTTATACCTTATAAATGAAGTTTGAATATTAAGTTTTTCCCTGATTAAAATTATGTTGATAAAATATACAACCAAAGCATCTTTTCTCAGATGGACATGAAGACACCCACCAATGTTTGACTATAAAGGATAAAAATTGCCAAAAGTAAACTATGGCAGCACACACCTGAGATACTAAAGGAGATAGTAGCACATCTTTATACTTTCGTTACTAAAATAAAAATTCATGCAGGAGAGGGTTAATTCATTTTTAAGGAACTAACTGGTTCTAACTACAACTTCCTTGTATCATTTCATTCATAACAATTATAATGTAAATTATAATAGCCACACTCCAAAAAAATTTTTTAAAGAGCTATTATATAATAAAGCAGACACTTTTCACAAAAGTAAATATATCATAACGCTTAAGTTGTTATATATATATATAATAAAGAAAATTATTAAATTACATTAAAAAACTCATTAAGCTTCCATTAGTTTGCTTAAATGAATATATACACTTGCGTTCAAACGTCTCCGGCCAGATTATTTTTATATTTCTCAAATTTTTTCAAAGTTTAAATGAGTGAAAAACAATTATGATTTTATCTATAAAAATGAAATTGAAACAATATCACATTATCACTCATTTCTTAGTACATTCATAAAGATTTATATACTTAAAAATTTAAATAAAATTAAATGAGATTTAGGTCTGCAGATGGACTTTGCCTCTACAAAACATCAATGTTTTTGCATGCAAATCATTGATTCACTCGCTTTATGAGGTGTAACCCGGGTCTTTGAAAAAATTGTTGAAATGCATATTTCTTGGCTACATAGTTTGCATGCGCTAGGAACTTGTTTTGGAGAATATAATACACATAAAATGATCCATAGTGCCAACATTTTGCCCTAATGGCCTGGGTCTTATTTACGAGAGTCACAACGAATCATAATAATCCCTTCATCATTTTTGCCAGTAAGAATTTGATATTTTTTATTAATATTTTTTAGACATCAAAATCAACATTGTAGTTAAAAGTTCTAATTTAATATTATTTCTTGCTTTTGTTGGTCATTTAATATTCTTCTTCGCTTAGTGCACCATTCACAAAATTCAAGTCTTCTAAGGTAAACTGTAATCTAACATTTAGTTTTTTTCACTTATTATAGATTTGGGGTTATTCATCTATGCAAAACTTCCATTATATAAACATTTTGCAACAGTACGACGACCAATATTTAAAATGATTTCTTTGTATAACTCTATTTCTGGCTGAGTTGCAGTTTCCTAGACGTTCTGCGGTAATTTGATTTCTATAATACGCTTTTCTTCTTCCGTTGGTTTTAATGGCTACCCCGCTTTAGGTTTACATTTTAAATCATATCCATTTCGATTATTATTAGCTAACAGGTCATATATAGCTGATTTATTAAATAGTAATGAAGACTTAATTTTACTAGATAATCTTTCTTCTTCCGAAATTTTTTTTTCACTCTTCAACTTAAAAAAATAAAAAATAAACGTTTCCCTCATTTCGAAAGTCTCATTAATGCAAAAAGAATAATTATAAAATTAATAATTTTAAACTTATATTTATTAAAAATAATTTTAGTTCAATTCAAATTATAATCTGGTCTTTGACTCTTGAGCACGAAAATATTGTACTTCTTTTAATTTTTTATGTTTAGCAACTTTTTATGTATATCATATACATAATAATTAATGGAACTAATCATTCACTCTTAAACGTTATTATTTATTTATTGTGAAATGTTCAAAAAACTTATAAAACAAAAGGTAAGAAAAGATACATATTTTTTGCAAGATGATAAACATTAAATGCTAATTATTATAAATTATTATAATTATTATAATATTAAATTAAATTATTTGTTAAAAAAATGATTTTTATTTCAATTGTATTTTGATAATTATTGTTTATCAATAATTCATTGCAATAAAATACCTACAATTTAAATTTTTATTTTGCAAGCTCAGTTTAAAGAAAACTTGTGCATTAGGGGCTTCACAGGATTTCTCTAATCTGACAGCTTTTATTTGTAATGTTAAATATGTGTTATTAATTTTTTTCGAATCCGGATTGTATAGTTGTGTCAATAAATATTGGTATCATACAAAACCTGTGCAATTTTTGTTTAAAGTTTACTTTTCAGTCGCTAACTGATTCTAAGAAGTTATTCTACTATTTTTCCGCTTAACCATCTTTACTCCATTCTCTGTCTGCCTCGTATCTCATACGTTTGGCGTTTTTGAACCCGCATGGTCGTTGCATCATTGAAATTGAATTAGTCTTCACTGACACGTCTCTTGAAAAACCATGATTATTTTTGTTTTTCTGAATAGCTAAGAGATGGCGCTCCTAGTTCCACTTTCACAAGTTTCACACTGAGATTTTCCGCCTTGAATTGAAATCAAAATCATTTTCTACTTTCTGTAATTTCGCTTTCATTAGTGTTAAAATTATTCATTAGTATTAAAATTATTACAATTCATTGATATTAAAATTATTTCATTTCATTAGTATTAAAATTAATTATTATTAATTATTTATTAGCATTCATTAATTATTAGTACTCAAAAATCATTAGTATTAATTAATTATTATTTTTATAAATTTCAGTGGCATAAAAATTATTTTCCAAAATACTTTTTTACCAAATTTTAATAATAATTTTATGCAGATATTTATCTTAAACACCTTAAATCGATAGAGTTAATAAATATGTTATCAAGGTGTATTATTTTAAGATAAAATTTCGTGCATTGCAAGGAAAGTTGGAGATCAGTGAACGGAACATCACATATTGCCCCACCAATAGGTCAAGCAAAAAACTTCTTGCTGGCAGGAATATTTTATAAAATATTTAAAATATAGTAAAATATAAGAGTATAATATATTATACTTTATAATTACAATTGTTTAGGAGTTTTATTTAAAAAATTTGCTTGGATTTGATTCTAGTTAAGGCAAATTTTTTTTCCACACCTAAAAATCATGATTATATTTTAATTCATTTAATTCTTTGAAGGGCTGTGGTTTTCAAAGCTAACCACAAAACAAATAAAGTAATGTACAAATTCATTTAAGTAAATTGTTCTACTTGGTCCAAACCAAAATAATTTGGACAATTCTGGTGTCTTATTTTCTTAAAAAACATCCTGCAGTTAAAGAGTTAAAAAATTTGGGAAATTCTAAAAGTATGTATTTCGGAAAAAATAACTTTTATTTTAATATTTGTAAAATATATATTATACTTGCTCGATTTTTTGATATGCGTATATTATTTAAGGAAAAGAAACTAAGATTCACTTGATAAAAGTTTAAAAATTTTATCTCTTTAGAAACATATGTCCATATTTTTATTATTTTTTTTAAAAAGATAAACTTACTTCCTTATGAGTATTTCGCCAAGTAATCTTTTACTTCTGCACGATTCTCATCTGTCATTTTATAAAAGAAACGTACGTGAACTTTTTTCAAATACACATTTGCAGTTTTTAAAATGAATATAGAAAGCTTTTTCTTATGGGATTTGACATAAAAATCTATAAAGCTTTTTATTAATGATCTCTTATTATATATATTTGATTGGAAATTTCCCGTCTTTGATCAAATATTTATCATTGATAAAAATGGTATGGGTAAAAAATTAATTTTTAATATTTTTTTTTTTTAACTTAAATTGAAATACATGAAACACAGTTAATAATTTATCTGCCAGCATTGAAACAGGAGAATATTGATACAGCTAAAAATGGTGTCGTAGTATTTTATTATTTTAATTTTCTTAACTGGGAGAATGCACCCCCTGCTTGCTTTGCCTTCAAAATATCCGCTTCTGTTTCATTAAAAATAAAAGGGTTCTATTGATTAAACATAACTAATTACCAAAATATTTTTTTTCATAAAATATTTTTTTTCCCAAAATATTTTTTTTCATAAATTTTATTTATTAAGTATATACAAATCATTAGTAAAATTGTAATAAAAATTTTATAATATGCTTTCAATTTCAACATTTATTTAATGCTGTTTACATTTCATGTGCCTCTTCTTCTATGTAATTGTAAATCCCATTATAACTACTTACTTTAGACAAAATGAATTTCGGTGAAGTTGATTTTGAATGTCCGGGGAATTTTTCTTCTTTTTGAAGGTGGGGTAACTTAAATGATAATTAATTTGACTCGACGAAAAAATGTTTGTCCTAAAATGAAAGTCAAAAATTAATTACATAATTGGGTCGTGTTTAAAATGGCTAGAGTAGCAAGATGAACGTTAGTGTCTGAAATTCATTTCCATAATATGTTGTATAATGACAGTAATTGTGAAAATTAAATTGAAGAGCATTTGTTTTTGAATGAAATATTTATCGTGTCGAAGCAAAGACTCGTGTTGTTGAGCTGAAGCCGTATAAAATCCAACAAGTACTAAGAGTACATTTTTCTGACCAAACCGAAATAATGACAAAAAAATATCTATAGTTGAAACTTGGTCAACGATTAAATTCCTACATGAGACATGATGTATTGCAAACATGAGAGTATTGCGTATTTTTATTATTATATAATTAACTTTGTGGAATTTTAATTTCATTCGAAAATTACTCCTTAAGGGGAGTCTGTAGGGTATTTACCAATAATGCTAAACAGATCAGCATCTAAAAAAGATATTGCTTAAGCTTTTTTTTTTGCAGAATATTTACATATACGTATTTATACTTTCCAAACAGAGTCTCGGTGCTGCCATCTAGTGTGGCAGAAACTAGACGTCCAAATTAACATGACCAACGGTATCTCACCCATTGCGGTGGTCCTGAAAGAGTGGATACAACCTCTGAAGAATGCTCTAGGTCTGCTCATCGGCAAGACCAATTGTGCAGCTCATTAGAAAAAAAAATATTTCTATTTCTATATTGTGATAACTGTTAATGCATATCTTCGGTGGAAATTGTTTTAAAAAAATTATGAGCTGAAAACTTAAAATTTTTTTATGAGTTTCGCCATTTTTGAGCAAAAATATTTGTTTACTCAAAACGTATCCCTCTTAAAGCTAGAACATTATCACATACAACTGATAATAACTCAAATATCCCCAAAAAATTTCAAAG